GATCAATGTACTAGTTGCTCTTGATGTGCACTTAACAGATCCTCTAATAATGTAGTCATAATTGTGATCAGTGCATGTATTGAATGTATTAATTCTATTGACACTTAATACTTAGTAGCGGTTAAACATGTACCTATTTATTTGTAATAATATTTGACCCTCTAAATATTGTAGCAGAGGGATAACTTGTGGTACAGGTATTTCACGGACAAGGGGGTGAAAGGTAAGTGATAATTACTTATGTATAACACAGGTATGTATTTAATAGATAAGTAATTAACAGATAAGATAACAGTAAGATAAATAAGATAAGTTAATAATAAAGATAAGATAACAAGAGGTAAAGGTAATCAACATTATGGATAAGTACTTATGTACATAAGTACAGGTGTTGCAGTTACTTGGTACATGAAAGGTACTGTGACATGTACTCTGTGGCTGACAGATTTCATGTTCCCACCATGGACCAATCCAATCACCCCCATTGACTGTCTAATCCCAATGGATTCCCATAAGCTAAGTCATTCAATAGATTTCCATTCAAAACAATTTGACTTAATGAATCACTCAACCGGACCAATGCTGATGCCCCTCCCATGCTCAGCTCCAGCTCACAGATCATACCACCACACTGCCAGTGGATCCGCCTTCAGCAGACCGAGGCCCATCCTTTTACATTTACACCAACACACCAACCTGCACCGATCCCAAGCAACTACCTGGGCCCTTTGGGAGCCTCTTCTTCCAACATACCCAGTCTCGGAGTTCTTTTTTTTCGGCTGGTGAGTCCACTTTCAGAGGGTTGAGCTGCTCAATGCTGACGACCCCCCCCCCCTTTCCATTTCCTCAGCCGACAACCGCACGCAACTCCACCTCGACCGATTCATCGAAAGGGTCATAATTTTAATTTTTTCGGCTGGTGATAAAGATGACAATCAGTACCCGGGTACCTCTAGCGGTACCCTGGTACCACCTTTGTTTTTCTCAGAAATGGACACCAGGTACCACACCTGGCACCCCCTGGAGGGTACCAGCGGTACTTTGGGCGGGTACCAGCGGTACTTTGGGCGGGTACCAGCGGTACCTGTGGCCGCGGTGCGAATGGTACTCTTGTTGAGCTAATCTTCTAATACTATCACCTTTCTTTTACCTTTCCCATCTGATTTACCCTTCTTAGCAGGCTGAATACCATCTTTCCACTTGGCCAACACCCCTTCCTTGATCATCCCATTTTTTGAGTAGAAGGCAGCAACCATCCCCCTCATTAGTGACTGCGCAGTAAGGAGGGTACCTCTAGCGGTACCCTGGTACCGCCTTTGTTTTTGCTCAGAAATGGACACCAGGTACCTCACCTGGCACCCCCTGGCGGGTGCCAGGCGGGTCCGGGCGGTACCAGGCAAACAGGTGCCGGGTACCGATTGTCATCTTTAGCTGGTGAGTCCCCCCAACCCATACCTTTTCCATTCACCTGCCCACTTGGCTGCCAAGTGGGCTTGCCCTCGTCGATATTCAGGGGGCTGGATGCTGACCACTCCCCCTCCTTCCTTTCCTCAGCCGACAACCGCTGCACGACATCCCTAGCCTCCCCCAGCCTTCACCTCAACCGATCGAACGAACAATCGAGTCGAAGAGTCGGCTTTTTTTTCGGTTCGTAAGCCCCCACACATCCCCATCCCTTTCACCTGCCCACTTGGCAGCCACTTGGCTGCCAAGTGGGCTTGCCCTCGTTGATATTCAGGGGGCTGGATGCTGACCACTCCCCCTCCTTCCTTTCCTCAGCCGACAATTGCTGCACAACACCCCTAGCCTCCCCCAGCCTTCACCTCAACCGCTCGAACAAACAATCGAGTCGTCGGCCGTTTTTTAGGTCCGTAAGCCCCCACACCCCATCCCCATCCCTTTCACCTGCGGCCTTTTCCTCAGCCGACAACCCACACACCGCGGCCCTCATATTGGGCCTGATGCTGACTACTCACCCCCCCCCTCTTCCTCAGCCGACAGCCAAAACACAACGAGGCGCCCCCCG